CCCCCCCCACCCCCCACCATCGTGGGCATCCTCCACTTCTCCCTGTTTCTTGGAGTAACTTACAGAAGCCCCCTTTCTCTCAGATATTTTTTTTCCATCTGTTCTCTGGAGTTCTCTCTAGGTTCCCATAGATGCTTCCCTGTTTGCAGCCTGAAGAGTTATGTAGACTTTGTTTTTCCAAGCATCCTTTTTCTTCTGCTGCTTCTCAGAAGCTGTCTTCCTCTCTGGATTTCTTTTCAGCCCTTACCCGAGGCCCCCCACCCCACCCGCTGGACCTTTCTTCCGTCTCAGGGTTTCCCTCGAATCTTCCCTTTTCCCATGTGGGTTTTAGGCACTCCTCTTTCCCTTTGGGAAATTTCTTCAGACTTCCCTGTTTTCAAATCCTTCATTTTCCAGCCAGAACACTGCAGGGTGGTGGAGATCTTCCCCTCACACAGAAGCCCTTTGATTCCACACCCAGAATTCTCTCCTAACTTCTCAGACGCTCCTTTTGTGCCGGGCTCCTTGTGAGCCCTGCTCTTCCAGTCCCCAACTTTGTGACTTGTTTCTTGCGTCTTCACAAGTCTCTCTAACTCCTCTTTTTCTCATAGACGGTGAAAAAGCAGTCTGGCTCCTGAGGTCCACCCCTTATGCCCCAAGGTCCAGATGGCGGCCAACGTGGGTGATCAACGTAGCACGGATTGGTTAGTGTGGCTGGAGGGGCGGAGGCCAGAGGGGAGGGCGAGAGGAAGCAAGAGCCAGTGTTGTCCTCAGGGACGGCATCGCACACAGTGTGGTGGAGTGGGGATGAGGGCCTCTTCTGGCCACCAGGGTCAGGGAAGCATTGGGTTGCAGGGTGGAGAGGGTCGGGTCTTCACCTCTCTGAGCACTGTTTTAAATTCACAGTATGGTGCTTATTTCGTAAAACTGCAAGAATTCATTCAGTGAGCTGTGATTAAGGGGCAGACTCCGACGCCTCAAATACTTGTGTGTTTCTGCTAATACTTGGTCTTTTCCAAAACAGCGTGATCATGACTTGATGGCTGGGGAGGTGTCAGCCAGAACTGACCAATGAAACATTTAGGCCTACTAGGCACCAGATGCTATGTTAACTTCTGTGGGTACTGGTAATCTTTTTGTCTGATTTGTAAGAACTGCTGTGTGGTATGCACCTGTAGCGCCTTGGGTCTCTAATCTATCTCTCACAGAAAGGTGTGATGCAGAAACTAGGTGTCAGCGTATTACGATGAAAGTATATTCTGGATTAAAAAAAATCTTGGCTCCAGTAGGTGGTGCGAGGGAGATCTAGGACTCAAGCCCGGGTATGTGCCTGCCTCCACCTTGCCCACCGTGCACAGGGAAAAGAGAGACGACCAGTGTCCTTTCTCTTGCAGGTCCTCTCAGTACAGCATGGTGGCCGGGGCAGGCAGAGAGAATGGCATGGAGACTCCTATGCATGAGAACCCGGAGTGGGAGAAGGCCCGCCAGGCTCTGGCCAGCATCAGCAAAGCAGGAGCTGCCGGCAGCTCCACCAAGGCCAGCAGCAACGGGCCCGTGGCCAGCGCACAAGTGAGGAGGCACACAGTGCCTGGGTAGCCTGTGGGGGGTTGCTAGGGGAGGGACACGCTTGGTATTCTCTGGTATCACGAGGACAGGGTGCCCCGAAGATGTCCTGGGAGCCTTCAGGTGAGGGGGGCAAAGTGTGTTCTGCTTGGAGAGCTTAGGGCACCTCACGGTCCTCGTCCCAGGGGATCCAGCCTGAAGAGGGGAATGTGTCCGGGGTCTCCGAGGTGACCCACGATCATTGGCAGGGGCTGTGGCTCTCTGGAGAGAGGCGGACCCAGTGTCGCTCCTTCGCTCTTAACCGCTGTCGTCCGGGCTCCTTTTGGGGGGGCCGCAGGGCCTGTGGGCTCTTGCTGCCGATGCTCATGGCGTGTGTCCCTCTCCCCAGTACGTGTCACAGGCAGAAGCCTCGGCTCTGCAGCAGCAGCAGTACTACCAGTGGTACCAGCAGTATAACTACGCCTACCCTTACAGCTACTACTACCCCATGGTGAGTGCCCGGCCCGGCGGGGCAGGTGCCGCGCTGGGGTGCGGGAGAGGTGTCGGGACGGGGGCCGGGGCCAGCCGGCGGCCCGAGGACAGCAACGACCAATTCTGGAAAATCTTGCGCTGGCGCGTTGCCCACAAGATCAAGTTCAGGCTGCCTCCCGGGACCTGCCTCCCCGGCTTCTGGCCGCTTCCGTCCCCACGCTCGTTCCACCGCTGCGCAGAGACCTCCTAGGTCTTTCACGCTCGACGTGCACCTGTGCTCTGTTTTAGCTCTCTTCCCACGTTCCCGTGCCTGTCTGCGTCCTCGCCTTGCCGAGGGCTGCCCAGGTCGTGCCTCACAGAGCCCCGTCCTCTGGCAGACTTGAGTAGTTAGAGCGGTTCCACCCACCCCTGCCCCACGTCTTCCCTGGGCCTTTTTTTCTTTCATGGTGCTTATTGCTGGACACGCTACGTATTTGCCTATGATGACTGCACCTGTTTTGAGCGCGGGCTTCGTTAGAGCATGGTTTTTTATTTATTTACTCTCTTGGGGGGGCTCTGTTGTGCTTAGAAAAGTTGGTGCTCAGTAAATATTTTCTATAATGGAATGGGATCGATCGAGGTTCCCATTTTATTTTAGTTTTCTTTAAGAGAATTGGGTGCATTTATGCGGCGGAAAGGAAGAAATAGAAAGGGGAAGTGGGGCATCACAGATTGCGTGTGGCTCCCCAGCGGGCAGGATGACAGGGACGGCACCGTGCCTGCGCTGACCCTTCTTTCCGTGCCTTTGCAGAGCATGTACCAGAGCTACGGCTCCCCCTCCCAGTACGGCGTGGCCAGCTCCTATGGCTCCGCCACCCCCCAGCAGCCATCGGCACCCCAGCACCAGGGGACTCTGAACCAGGTAATGCCCGTACCCGGCTCCTCGGAATGTTGAAGAAGGGGAGTACAGTTTTTCTGAGCGGGCGAGCAGTGGGCACACCTGCATCATTTAAGCCACCCGCCCCCTGCCTTCTCTCCTGCTGGGCAACTCCTCATCTGATAACGAGGAAGGCAAAGTGTAGTTTTTGAAAGGGAGGGTCTAGGGCTTGGGCACGGCCTGGGGCCTGGGGCCGGGCGCTGGGGCGGTGGCGGGAGCAGTGTGCAGCGTGGCGGCCCGTCTTCCCGATTTCCGCCCAGCGCGTGCACACATACCTGCACAGCCACATCCGCAGTCTGGCCTTGGCGTTTAGCGTGCGGTGGGGAGTGTGGAGCTGGTGCCGGGGAGGTGCGTGGGCCTGGCCCAGAACCCCGGCTCCCCCGCTCCCCCTCCGGTGGTGTCGTTACGAGCCGCGTGATACCTCTGCATCTCTGCCAGTCCTGTTGTTTCCTCACAGAGCTCCCATGAGTGTGCGTAATCACTTCTGTGCTTTGACTGGCACGCGGGATATGCTCAGACAGGAACCACCGGGTGATGCGCTGTTGGGCCAGTGCTCACATGGCGGTGGGCTGCAGGGTTTAATGCCTACTGCTGCCATTCAACAGCTGGGGGCCAGAGGAGAGCAGCTCCGGGTCTGAGCCTGAGCCTTGTCAGCTGTCTGCGGGCTCGGGACAGCGAGGTGCGGGAGGGTCGTGGCACAGGGTTGAGGGCTGAGTGGTGCTGTGATCGTGCAGGGCAGTGTGAGGGCCGGCACAGAGGCCTCTGCTCCCACCCTCAGTGCCTGCTTCCTCCGCCAGCCCCCAGTCCCCGGCATGGAAGAAAGCATGTCCTACCAGGCACCCCCTCAGCAGCTGCCGGCAGCCCAGCCCCCTCAGCCCTCCAACACCCCGCACGGGGCTCATACTCTGAACAGCGGCCCCCAGCCTGGAACAGCCCCTGCCACACAGCACAGCCAGGCAGGGCCCGCCTCCGGCCAGGCCTATGGGCCACACACCTACTCTGAGCCTGCCAAGCCCAAGAAGGGCCAACAGCTGTGGAACCGGATGAAGCGTAAGTCGGCGGTAGACTTTGGAGAGGAGAGCCCGCGGGGTCCAGAAGTAGGCGTGGGGTGCATGGTGTGCTGGTCCGTCCTGGGCTGTTGGGCACCCCCAGGCTTTGGGTGCAGGTGACCCGGAGCTGGGCGCCTCCTGTTCCTGGGGCTGGGGTGGTCTGAGGTGGGCCGGGGTGAGGCCTAACTCCGCTTTTGCGGTCCCCACAGCAGCCCCTGGGACTGGCGGTCTCAAGTTCAACATTCAGAAACGGCCCTTTGCCGTCACCAGCCAGAGCTTCAGCTCCACCTCAGAGGGTCAGCACGGCAGCTTCGGCCCCCAGCCGAACCCGGAAAAAGCCCAGAACCACCGGTGAGGGCCGCCTCCTCGCTGCTGTCCCCATCCCCTCGCCTCTGGTCCGCCGGTGCGCTCTGCACCCAGACTCCGTCGGCTCCTCCAGAAATGGGGTGGGGTCCTCCTTCCCTCTTGGCTGCCATGAGCGGGAAATGAGAGGGGAGAGAAGGCACTTGAACCGTGTCTGGCACGTGTCAGCTCTGCAAGCGGCGGTGATGGCGGAGTCTGTCGCGCTGTGGGGTGCTGCCCGGCTGAGCCCCACGTGTGCCCCTTCCCAGGGGGAGCCTGTCCGGGAAGCCCGACGATTGGCCGCAGGACATGAAGGAGTATGTGGAGCGCTGCTTCACTGCCTGCGAGTCGGAGGAGGACAAGGACCGGACCGAGAAGCTGCTCAAGGAGCTGCTGCAGGCCCGGCTGCAGGACGGCTCCGCCTACACCATCGACTGGAGCCGGGAGCCCCTGCCCGGGTTAGTCCGGGCAGGGGGTGCGGCTAAGGGCGGTTCTGGGTGCCGGAGCGGAGACCCGCAGACCTGGGTCCCCGGAGCCCTGAGAATGAGCCGGGAGGTCGGACCCCGGGGTGGAAGGCCAGGAGGGGAGAGCTGAGGCGCAGGCGCTGCCTGGGGATGAGATCCTGGGTGGGAGGGAGGTCCTGCGGGCTCCCGGGCGCCTGGTGCTCAGCAGCGGGGAGCACTCTCTAGACAGAGGAAGCCTGGGGTTTGCCTCCTGGTTTTGCAGTGTGTTAGCTGAGTCGCCTGGGTAAGTTCCTTTCCAGCCTGAGGTGGTGTGTCCCTGGGGTGGCCGGCAGATGCTGGGGACGGTGGGGGCACTGGGTTGGTGATGCCCTGCCCTGCTATATCCTCAGGCTGACCCGGGAGCCTGTGGCTGAGAGTCCCAAGAAGAAGCGGTGGGAGGCCCCTAGCAGCCTACATCCTCCCAGGGGGGCAGGCTCAGCGACAAGGGGCGGGGGTGCCCAGTCCCAGCGAGGGACACCGGGGGCTGGGGGTGCTGGCCGAGCCCGGGGCAGCAGCTTCGCCAAGTTTGGCAACCGCAATGTCTTCATGAAGGACAACAGCTCCTCCTCCAGCACGGACTCGCGCTCCCGTTCCTCCTCCCGGTCCCCCACCCGCCACTTCCGCAGAAGGTGCGAGGACTTGGGGATGGGGGGTGGGGCTCGGTGCTTGGGGGGAAGCAGCCGTTTCAGGCCTCACCTTCCTGCTTCTTCTGTGCAGTGACTCCCACTCGGATTCAGACAGTTCTTACTCAGGGAATGAGTGTCACCCTGTGGGTCGCCGGAACCCACCCCCTAAGGGCCGAGGAGGTCGGGGGGCCCACATGGATCGAGGCCGAGGCAGGGCGCAGCGTGGGAAGAGGTGAGACTTGGGTCAG